ATTAAAATTAATAGATTATTACATTAACATAGTGTAATTTAAAATACTATATTTATTTTATTATAATATAATATTTATATTCTTTAGAATTTAATATAATACAACTATAATATTAACTACTAGTAGTAGACACTAGCTAGTTACAAAATATATGCACATAAAGTACTATTAACTAAATCCACAATTAATGACTTAAAAACTTAACTAGTATACTATACAGACAAATAACATTAAAATCTTTAGTAACAACAAATCCATGAAGCTTTATTAAAAAGTTGTAACAAATATATGAAACATACACAAAATTGTTAATACAAAATCAATACACTAATTAAGATAATACAAAATAGATTGCATTTGCAATTCCATTTAACGACATCCCGTTCACGAGTCTTCTTTCCAAGGTATACATTATAACACGTATATGTATTTACATCCCCCATAAATTCTCTCTTTTCCCCCATTACGTTCCCTTTCAGTGACTCCGAACAGTATATGCTGACATCTGCGTGACATATTGTGCATTCAAAACCTTGGGTGGCCATACACTATTCTTTTGCAAGAATATTTATATTTATTCTTTAACAAATATTTTTTATCTTTAATAAAATTTTTATCTAAATTAATTTGTTACCTTTAATTATTATTAATTAATATTTATTCTTTGCTTAACGACACACGCTATTCTTTCCTAACCTCAATTATTCTACTCTCAGACGCACCTCCAAGACTCATGACACAGGCCTTCCTGATAAATATTTACGCCAAAGGTCTTATGCGTGTAATACCCACAGCCAAAAGTGCTGCAAACTTTCCAAACGACCCAATAAGGAACTTCCATGTAAAGACACATATGTGGGTAAGGGATCAACGTTCCACAGCTTGTTTCTATTTACAGAATCTCTCCAGGACATTGGTCTGTACGTTGCGAAATCTTATGCTAGTTACTCTGCAAACTTGATAGATGGCTTGTGTTATATTAAAGCTTAATATACAGTATGATATATTACATTTCGTAATATAATTTATCAGTGTATTATATTAATAATTATTGTTATATTATGTTAATTATTGTTATGTTATTATTGCATTGTATAATTTATGTATGATTTTATCTAATAATTTTCTAACCT